CATCCTGGAATGTTAAAGCTGGGGGTCGCCTCAGTAACAACAGAGTCCAATCCTCCGATTTCACAGTGGGAAAACTATGGCATGGAGGTAGTCTGAGAGTTGCCCAAACGAACATTTTATGATTTTTAAAATTACTCTGGCTAATCATGTTATCATATTTCAACTTCAACTGCTTTACGGGCAGGAGCATTTAGTTCCATATAAATGCTACATTTAAGAAAACTAGGGTTTTTTTCTTCATGAAAATGATCTTAAAAATCAAATAGTAAATATGGTTTTATTATTCATAAGTTTGAAAATATCTAAGAAAAAAACTAGTTTCACTTAAAACAACCTGCCACCAACATTTTACTGAATGTTCATATTTTAAAATAGAAGATGAGCTAAAAATCAATAGTTGATTTACAATAGCACACAGATATTTACTAAGAGGTAGACCAGTGTAGTTTCTATTTCACTGTGCTGACAAGTGTGCTGTAATAGGAACCTGAAGTGGGTGTCCTGCGCATTCCTCTTCTGAAATTCAGTAATCCAGCAAAGCAGAAAGTGAATTAATGAGAACCAAAATCCATTGCCATTGAGTCGATTCCGATTCATAGCCATCCTATAGGACAGAGTAGAACTGCCGCATAGGGTTTCCAAGGCTGTAAATCTTTACAGAAGCAGACTGCCACATCTTTCTCCCACGGAATGGCTGGTAGGTTCAAACCGCCAACCTTTTGGTTAGCAGCCGAGTGCTTACCCACTGCACCACCAGGACCCCTTGAATTCATGATAGATGTGAGAATTTTCTATATTATCTCAGTTAAAAGGTTCACATGCTTGTAACTTGCAAGAGACCAAAAGTAATGAACACTTCTGGAGTCTTGTTTTCATTACCAACTTTAAAGCTGGGGGCTTTTTTTCTTATATTACCATCAGTTCTTAAGGGTCTCAAGCAAGTTGTATTCTAGATGAGAACATTGGATATTACTGTACTCTGTTAGAGCTACTTAGTGTTTTATCTGTTAAGAAAATAGATCTTTATACTGCTAGAACATTACGGAGTTAAACTGATCAAAACTAAAATCAGTATCGTTTCCTCCAAAATTATTTGACATTGTCTGTCCTTATTAATAAACCTATGCAAAAGGAATAATTTGAATTTGCACTCAAGATTGCTGAGTTGATATTTTGTTTCTTTGCATTGTCATCCTTTAGATCACAGTCTTCTGTGTCCACTACCACAATGTTCCCCTTGACCTTAGAAGTTTAGTTTGATTGCTTTCCCTGCAGTTTCCACTTCAGACCTGTTCCTACCTCTGATTATAAAGCTTCTGAAAGCAGGAACCAGGATTGTGTGTCCTCTTCGTTAAGGGTCCCTTGTGAATGTAAGTTGCCTATGCAGAAACCCTACCTGCTCCTGTATAAAATTGTTTCTTCAATTAGTGGTCCGATATCTTTGGCTAATGATTTCCATGACTC